ACTTAAAAGAAAATGTTGACTTAAAATTATTAACAGCAAAATGATCTAGCCAATAGCAATAACAATCATAGAAATACAATAATCGCTGATGTAATCTTTCAATTTATTTTGTATTAACAAAGTTTTTTCAAGGAGAAAACTAGTATTTTAAGGTTTTTTTTGGGGGGGGGTCCAAAAAAAAGAGACAGGGTGTTGCTGTGACTCAGGGTAGCCTCCAACTCAGGAATCCTCATGCTTCAGCCTCCCAGAAAACTGGGATTATAGGAAATGCTACAACCCCCAGCTGCAAGACGTTTTAAAGAAAGATAATTATCTAGTGGTTGTTGCTTGAAATGAGCCAGATCAAATTGTGCTGTAGGATATTTACATCTTTGCCTTTGAAATCTATTACATGCTTTGATGGCTGTTTGGTCAAGATGAACGGTGGTAGAACTTAAGACAGCAGTTACCTGGGGCCAGGAAGGAGCAATGGTACCTGCTAAGTGTATCTTCTGAGGTGAGAGTAATGTTTCATATTTTGTGGTGATTGTTACAGAGTTACCATATTTATTATAATTTTTCAAACTATAGTTAGGATGGATACATCTTGTTACATGTAAATTACCTAAAGTCCATCTTGTGTGCCTGTGCCGTGCTTGGCATGCTGACCTCTGAGCTACATCCGCAGCCCCAGATTCACTGATAATCATAATGGGCAGCGCTGTCTGGAGAGGAAGCTTCCAGCTGACAGGGACCCCTCACCGCGCTCCAGAGACTGCGCTAAGAGCTTGCACACTTCAAGCCATGGAGTCCAACCACCCCGTGAGGCGAAGGCACTGATGCACGGAGGTTTAGCTACTTGCTGAATACACATTTGTAAATCACAACGACAGGATTTAACCTGCACATACTCCAGTTTGGTTGGTAATGAATGAAATAAAATTTTACTTAGTTAACTAAGACTTACTGGTACAAAAAAACACAAATTGTAACACCACATAAAGGAAGGAAAATTTCTTCAAGAGCAGACAGACTCCCAGCTTTGGCAATTAATTCTACCTAATCTCTCCACATGTAAAATAAATTATTCTATCACCCTACTGAAAAGAAGTACTTTCTAGGCATACACTGTTTGAAGTTGTAAAAGAATAGCTAAGTCTTGCCCTCCTTGTTCACAACTTCAGTCCCTCTGGGAAGTAGTATGTTTCTAGTTCTTTCCCCGATTCCCACTGACAAGCTATTGCTTTCCAGCTTGTCAGTAGCAAGAACTTCACTCCCCAAATACTCTCTCCCACTTTCCTTTATCCAACAACCAAAATTCTTTTTAAATTAAAAATATTTTTGTTTTGTTGTGGGATTTAGTCATTTATGTATCGAGACAAGATGTCATTATGTTGTGCCGGACAGTTTGTCACTCCTGGGCTCACGCAGTCCTGCTGTCTCAGCCTCCCAAGTAGCTGGGGCTATAGGTGCACGGGACTAACCATATTACTAGGAAAATGCAAGAACTGTTCACTGTTAAGCAGTTCACCAAGCCACAGTTCCGTTCTGGAACAACCCTTCATTTTCCTTGAATAATTACCTTTTTTCATTATCCTCGGTTCCTATTAATGTCATTTTGTCTTTCTCGAACATACCAATTCTGGTTTCTTCCCCCAAGATTTCCCTCCTGCCCTGCTCTTATTTGGACTCGCTGCTCTCTAAGAATGACGCAGTGCCCTGGATTGTCGTCATAACTTGTGTTGGAGCCCTTGTTTCCTGTGACTGTACATGAAGATTGTAGAAATGATCACAGTGATGATTATGTTGGCTTATTGTAGAACTTGGCAGAAGTTCCTTACTTGAAAAGCATTCCATCTACCTTAAGTTCACAAATGTTCTAAGGGGTGGGGGTGCAGGTGAGTGGCAGAGTGCTTCTTGCCTAGCACATGAGGCCCGAGGTTCTACCCTGAGTCCTTTCTTCATTTTTAAATTTTGGAACAGGGCCCAAGTGACCAAGTTGCCCAGGTTGGGCTCAAACTTATGATCCTGCTGCCTCAGCCTTTCAAGAACAAAAGTCTACATTTTTAACCATATTTTAATGACTCTTCAATTAAGCGCCATACAAGTTGAAACATTTTTCAGGAATATTTTTTTTTTCTTGCAGTCAAAGGGCTCCTAGTAGTTTGGCATCAGGGAATCCTCTCCAAAGTGCATGCAAAATTTGTGTATATACAGAGGCATATTTTTCTAGGGGACAAGAGTCAAGGCTTTTATTAATTAAAATAAAGGAATTCACAGCTTGTAACAATAAAGCCAAAAAAATCATTAGGAACCTATAAAAATCCCTTCTCAGCTTTATACTCTGGGAGGAAACTGGCAATCCACTGTTGTAAAGGGCAGCGTGAGAAAATCTGCACTTCTTGATTAAGAACAAAATGCTATGATAAATGAGACATTAAAAGTAACTACAACCTAAGAGATGAGGAAACCTACTGGAACTAGTCTGGATCAGATACACACAGCATGCTTACCAGTTTTGTTTTCAGAGTTACATATTTAAAAGCCAAAGAACAAGTCTAATAACTAGTTATATATAAAGTATTTATTTTTATACACATATTTACTACAAAATTTACAGAAAATAAAACGAAGTAGAATATATAGAATACCCTCAAAAGACTTCTTAGTAGCAGAGGGTCTTATTGCTTCAGTTCAAAGAATAAAATTTTATACACATGAAAGCCAAATGAACACATTTAAGTTAAATGACAGCCTCATTTAAAATTTCCTATCATTGAAATTTCAGCTCTATGTTAAATGAAATTTAAAAGACTGCTCATATAATTTAAATCTTTTCAAAGTCGTCAATGAACAGGTAAAAGGCACCTCCAGTACTTTAAAATATTTACAGCAATCCCAACAGTTTAATTTTAAGGGCTATTATTATAGTACATGTGGCTGTTATGCATACACAGTATGTCATCAACACTCTCTGAACAGCGAGAATTGTAGACTAGTTGGTGGCACACTCCCATGTTGTCCTGGTGATGGAGGGTGCTCAGTTACACCTGAGCACTACTTGTGTAACAGTATGTTTATCACAGCATAAAACCCAATTATCTAAAACAAGGACTATCAAATTCTCAAATACATAATTTATAACTGAACTTGTACATTCAGGGGACTTTCGGGTGTTCTTAAAATTCTTAAAATATGAAGTGTATTTAGTGTTGAATGAAAATAACAAACTGAAAAATATAACCACAATAGTTGCTGGAGTTGTTGCTCATTTAACAAAAACGGCTTCTGAAAACATCTATAACTGCTCACAACATAATGGGGATGAGTTTTCCTCAGTCTCAGCAGAATCTGATGGTTTTCTTGCATTGTAATTTTAGAAGAGGAGTTAGGAATGAAAGGCACACATAATAGCCGGTTTTAAAAAGCTGTGGGGATGGCAAGCAGATGTTCCTGAAATACTGATGCAGGAGAACGAAGTCCACACAACTTCTTCACCATTGGCATTGATTTGCTATTTACAGTAGTTTGCAAAAATACATTATAAAAACTGAATGAGGTTCTGTTTCTAAGTTTAACTTAGTAACATACATACATACTTCATCTGCAAACATCTTCGCAGGAGCTGAAGTACTAAAGTGACACTAACACTGAAGCACTGATAATGCGAGTCGTCATCATCAGACCCTCTGGGTAAATATTGCACACTTCCTGTCAGCTGCTGCTATGACCTTCACATACCCAACTGCAGAAGGAATCCTCTATGGCTTTCTGCTGTATCACTTATTTGAAGAAAGACTGCTTTAGATCCTATAACAATGTGGGCAGATTGTCATTGAACATGAGGCCTAGGTTTCAAAATTAATTTTCCTGTCTGTAAAACAAAAAAAAAATTTTTTTTTCAACATATGGTTGTATTAAAAAATACCACCACTTATTTATATATTTTAAAGGGCATTTGCAGGAAAATAGAATCATTTTCTATAATCAAGATTTGACAGTTAATAGTTGCTTCACATTTCCTTTATGCAGACTCGTTACCTTAAAACACATACATGCATGCACAAGCAAGGCTGAGGAGTAGTTCACTATACAGCCTGTGCTTAGCATGCACAATACTCTGGGTTCAATTACCACTAAAACCAACACGCATGCACACCCACACACATCCTTTATTTGAATTCTTTGTCCCTTGGCTACCTAGAAATCACTTAATCCACGGGATAAAATTTAAAAGTTGTACAGATTTATGCATTTTACAAAACCAAGTTTTTAACACATGAAACTTTTTTTTTTCTTATGATTAAACCTAGGACCTTTGAACTGAGTTACATTCTCAGCCTTGTTTCATTCTGAAACAAGGCCTAAGTTACAAGTTGCCCAGGCTGAACTTGAACCTGTGATCTTTGTGACTCAGCTTCCCAGATGGCTATGATCACCCAGCCACAAAAAACTGGGCAAAATTGTTCTCCTTTCAATATAAACAAATTTTAATTTGGACAAGGTAAAAAGTAAATCATGCTGTGTGTGGTAGTGCACACGTGCAACTCCAGCACAGGGGCAAGGCAGAACTCCCATGAGTCAAGAGACCAGCCTGGGCTACATACTAAGACCTTAACAGCTATCTTCCTGCTTCGAACTTTTTTTTTTTTTTTGAAGGTGTTAGGGACTAAACCTAGGGCCTTGTGCATAGTGAACAAGCATTCTAATACTGAACTACACCCCTCAAAATATTTGTAAACAGTTTATTCTAATTTTATGTAATGAATTATTTCATGATTTTTACAAAGTGAAGGTTGCCAGGCACGTAATCCCAGCACTCAAGAGGCTGAGGCAGGAGGATGTGGAGTTTGAGGCCAGCCTGTATTACATAATGAGAACCTGCCTCAAAAACAAAATAGAAAAGAGGGGGCTTGCTAGTTAGTTCAGTTGTTTAAGCACCTGCTGGGCCAAACCCAGTCAGGTACAGGGGACCATGGTTCGATCCCCAGTTCCCCATACCTTACCAGCCCCACCCTTAAGGCAGCCTGAGCTAACCAAAAAAAAAAAAAAAATCCTTCTCAACTTAAAAAAAAAGAAAGAAAACAAACAAACAAAAAGCCCTGAAAATAAAAACACACAAATAGAATCAACAAATCAAAATAGTAATAAAAGTACTGGATGCTCTTAAAATACACTGGTACATGATCTATTCTTTAAAACGCAGTAGGTTATATATGCATAGTTCTTAAATTAGTCTATGTCTTTATTTCACAAATGACACAAAATACTATTTACAAATAAGTTTATAAAACCAGTATCTCTTGAGCCATTTTTGGTCAATCGTGATTACCATATTTTATTGAATTTAAGATGGCTCCAATTATATCACAAGTTTATGTCATTAAGAAAGATTAAATTAAAAACAAAAAAAAAAAAAGGAAAGATTAAACTGTCAACTGCCAATTTAATTGGTTCTTTTTTCGGTGGTACCAGGCACTGAACTTGGGACCTTGCGCTCGCTAGGCAGGTAGGTGTTTATGCCTCTGAGCTATTTCCCTGGCCCCAATTTAATTGTTAGACACACTTACTAATGCATCTCAACTATGGGGCTGTTAAGATGTAAAAGTATTTCAGAATCAGTATTTAAGGGATATTCTATTAATGCCACAGAGAAAATCTGTTAATGACATTTTTTCTGAAGCTGAACACCTCAGTTCTTTATGCAGGGCTGTAATTTTTTAATGAAAAAAGAAAATACTTACATCATCACAAGACATATTGTACTCTGCTAATACTGTTCGACACCGAGCGGCTATACTGAACAAATGTTGTCAAGAAAAATTTCTCATTTCAATAGCAAGCTTCTAACAACCAACCAGATCACTGAGAAGGAGCTTCCATTTATGTAAAGGATACATGGACGGTGCTACTACTCTCTTGTGTATTCCTGCAAAGAACAAGCCTATGAGGGTGATGCAGCTGATGGTGAAAAATGGATGGTTCCACAGTGATGTGAAGAAGGACACCTGTAAAGGAAGAGTTTGTAATATTATGTTAAAATCTTAGACTCATACTGATTCTTACCTGCCCGCTTGTGCATAAACAGATGTATTTTCATCATCTAAAGTACAAGGACTTGAAGACTTTTAATAATCCTCATTTTTAATAGGTATGTTGGGCTGGGGAGATAGCCCAGTGGAATAAGTGCTTGCCTTGCAAAGCGAAAGGTTCTGAGTTTGATCCCTGGTCCACCAAAAAAAAAGTATGTTCTAAAAATGAAATGTATACTTGGTAATGCCTATGTGGTAAAACAATATAACAACATTTTCTCCATTGAGTTCAAATACATAGGCTATTACAAACTCATTCTTACACTCAAAAAACCCTCACCTAAAATATTTACTAACCTCTGTTTAATTAATGAAAATGAGGCCTTCAGCCTCAGGAAAGGTGCAAGTCACATGTGATCTAGCTAACTTTTCTGTTAAAGATTCCTTGAGAGACCTGGGAAAGCTGTTATTCATAACCTGATCCCTGTCTGAGCTTTATTTCCTGCCACATTTTTTATGCTACCTTCCCTACTAACTCCCACACACAACCTTGTGAGATTCAGCCCCAGAATCATCCTTCCTGCTAGAAGAAAGGAACACTTTGGTTTTGAAGCTACTGAGATTTTGATGGCCACAGGATATTCAAACAAGGAAAAACAATCAGTATTCCATAAAGAATTAGAATTCACCAGAAATGGTGGCACACTCCAGCAACCCCAGCTACTTGTGAGGCTGAGGCAAGATAACAAGCACATTCAAGGGCAACCTGGGCAAATTAATTAGCAAGACATGTCTCAAAACTTAAAAGGGGCCTGTGGATACATTTTAGTGGTACAGTAAAGGCCTGACATGCCTGAGACCCAGTGTGACTTCTAGCACTGAATAAAAAACATAAGACGTCAAGAGAAGAAAAGGTGTGTTTTAGACCTGATCATAACCAGATGACAGAAAGCAGCCCAATATACAATTCTAAGAGTACACAGAAGACCAAGAGTCTGGGGGTGATCCTTGACTGGAACAACAGTGCACACTGAACCCACAACAGAAACAGACTAGAGAGAAGACAAGCGTTTAGAGCAGCTAGAAAAAGAAATCAAATGGACGAGTAGTAACCAGACAGGGCTAACAGATTCAGGCGAAGCACATCCCACTCAAACATCAAAGAAATGTGCTGTGCTTTAAGACAGAAAAACACACACATGATCGTTTCAAGACAGAGAGTGCTAGGTAGATGTTTCAACAAGGTCAAATAAAGTAGAGGTTGGAAACATCTGGAGAGAATAAGTCCCCTAAAAGGTGAGACCCTGGAGAAAGGTTATTATTCCAGAAGAATGTCTTCCTAAACCTCTGAGAACAGTTTAATTCCTATACAGCAGTTGTATGGTCCACACAGTGCTGTGTTTTCATATTAAGTAGGCCAGTCAGTATGAGCCCCCTTTCCACCATGACAACAACAAACAGCGGCCAAACAGCAGTGGTCCCCTTGATCAGCACATGCCACATTTGCTCCTTCCTAAGTTTCTTCCAGTTATCAATGGTGCCGCTACGCTTTTCTAGTAGCTGTCCACTGACTTCTGTGCTTATGACTCCCGCTTTAGACACAACGGCTGGGTAAAGCTGTCGTCAGGTTTGGAATTATTAAATACTGAAATAAAGAGTCAACCCTAAGGCCAAGAGTGATATTCTCACCTAATTTAGAAAAGTATATTAACTACATAGTTTTGGGCCTATTTCAAATTACATTTAATTCCGTGTTTTATTAAGATCTCAACTAGCTGAAAGCAGCTTATATTTTTCCCAATTAGAAGTCAGACTCATTTCCCAAGACAGACTTTTTCAATCTTCTTGCCCGTCTCCTTCCACTCTTCCCCTAAAGATGAGTACCAAGCACAGCCCTCAGATCAGAATTTTATAAATGAGCACACAGGAGAGTTTTCTGTCTGCCATAAAACCCTGTTATTAACATAAAATTCCATCAATCTCCCCAGGTTTGTAGCTTTTCATATCTCCCCCTCCATGGATAGTCAGGACTACATGCTAAATAAACCCTTGGCTGTCTGAAGCTCCATTTAGACTGATGACAACAGCCTTATTATTAGGCTTTTCTTCTCTATACTCTAAAAGGTTAACATAAAACTATGTGAAGTAGTCTACTTATTAGAGGGAGCAATTTTTAAGATTTATAAAAATCATAATATTGTCACTACCTAAAACCACACCTGGGGAAAACAGTTCACTGGAAAATTGGAGACTAATTCTTCTGATTAAAAAAAACAAACTTGAGTTTGAAATCAGGGCACAAATTAGTAGAAAGAGGTAGAAATCTTAAAAACGTTTTATCTGCTTTCATCAAAGAACAATTAACTGGATTCAGTATAGGCTGTGCTTGCGTAGTACCCAATAGATTTCTCATCGTTTCCTATATTAAACTCCAGGCAATAATTTTTAAGATATAAATGCCAAGAAAAAAAAGCTTTGCTAGCGCAAGAAACTAACACATGTGTTCTCACAGACAATGAAAAGGACAGCATCAACTGTGACTTCAATGATTAGGTAAATTCGATTCTGGCTGGGTCACGTGGCCTATATACTAGTGACCTGCTTTCCTTCCTAGCTTTGATCTCCTAGTCTAATCTGTTCTTTATCCAATTATATTTTGCTGCTTTGCCATATGTTTCCTATAAAATCATCCCAAATGCTCTGTGGGATGAAGAATGTTACTAACAAAGATAGCTCAGAGAAGAAAATATCACTAAAAGCTGCACTGGTGACACAAGAGGCAATGTGCACACTCAAATAAAGTACCAATGAAGTGTAAGTTTAAGCAAATGTAAAAGCGCTACACAAATTGAGAAATGAATTGCAAAATAACCTAAATGGAGTAAATTTCTTCTTTTGGGTGGAACCCAGGACTGAACTCAGGCCCTTGCGCTTGCCAGGGAAGCGCTTATTCTACTGAGCCATCTCCCCAACCCATGGAGTAAATTTCTCAGGCTTTTTCCCCTGAAAAGAAATTTAAATCATAACAGTCAAGCCAAAGCTTTCTTTAAGCAAATTAACACAGCACTTACTTTTAACATAATGATTCATGTCATCAGTAGTTATAGGCTGCATTTAAGCAACACTGTACAATTAACAAAGCACAGATACATCCATTAATTTATTTAATCTATTGAAGTTTTAAAAGAAAATTTCTACCTTTTGTGTCTCAGGATCTATTAACCAGTTCCAGGCACCAGTAGCTGTACAGACAGATACCACTATGAGAAGCACTGATGAAAGATAAACACAAAATTAGTAAGCAGAAGCACCCTGAACATTTGCTGCCACCTTCGTCCACTCCGAATCAGTGAGAGCTAAGGAGTATAACTCTGTATTAACAGGAAAAAGGGATGACTGGACTCAAGAACTGGGGAACTTGCTACATGACTTGGAAGAATTCACTAAATACTCTAAATTAGTACTTGAAGAATAAGTGAGGATGGTACTGATTCTTTTGTTACTTGGCTAGATGTTACAAAAATGAGGATTAATGAATTAAAAGCAAGAACTCCAAAGGTAAAACATTGCCTGTTGGGATACATTAAGTTCTTCAAATGTAGAGATCAAGCTTCAAAAACTCAATTTTTACAGATATACTTATTTATTTATTTTTGGGGGTGTGGGGTCTTACTACACAGCTCAGGCTGGCTTTGAACTCACTAGGTAACTCAGGCCTGCCTTGAATTTGAGTCAATCTTCCTGTTTCAGACTCTGAGTGCTGAGATGATAGGTGTGTGACGCCATGCCTGGCTTAAAGATGCATTTTATCTTATTTATTTTGTCTCTTTTGAGACAGGGTTTCACTATGTAGTTCAGGCTGGCCTGAAACTCACAGTGATCCTTTTGCCTTAGCCTCCCAAGGGCTAGGATTACAGATGTGCACCACCACATCTGGCTACACAGGCAGTTAAAAACTGAAGAAAAATCAAAACAAAACACTAGAAAAACCCTCATGGACATGCTTTCTACCTGGTAGTAACCTGATGCCATTTATATGTAAGCACTAAGATATAAAGTGGAAAAAAGTGAACTCTGCTTATCATACTATATTTTATAAGATAGGGCAGCACCATTTACATTCTTAAGATTCTCAGATAACAGTGAAAGAGAGGTTTTGGGGGCAATTCCTAGGTAATCCTGAGAATCTGAGGCAGTCATTACTTACAAATTCTGACCAGTCAGAATTCTCAGTGTATGATTAAATCTTTACCAATAGAGCTAATAAAAAGCACATGCGCGCGCGCGCACACACACACACACACACACACACACACACACAAATCTTGACCTAGAAAGGACTTTCAAGTTCAATGCTGCTCCTCTGGTCCTGAAAAACTGCAAACCGAGTTATACTTTAAAGTATGTTCTTGGGCTGGAGATATAGCTCAAAGGTAGAACACTTGCCTCATATTTGTGTGGCCCGGGGTTTGATCCCCAACACCACAAGAAGGGGAAAAAAAGGTACATCCACAATGTGTGCTATTGTGCTTCTTTCTAGGTAGGAATTACACTTCAGTAATGAGTATCTAAGACATTCATGAAGATACTGAGGCTGGTCCAAAGCCAGCCATGGTGGTGCACTCTTGTAGTCCCGCCCCTGCTGAGGGGGCAGGCAGAGGCAGGGCTGCTTTGGACCCAGCTAACAGGCAACAGTGCAAGACCCCTATTTTCATGTACACACGTCAAGGCTGTTCGAACAGCCACGCCTTCTTGTGTGGCGTCTCATCCTTGAGCACTGCCGCCATTTCTTATACACTGCATTTCCACTGGGCTGTAGCCACAATTCATTCAAGTCCCATTTCATGGGACTTGTATACGTATGAAAAGATAGCAATGATGTGAATTTACTTTCTGGATGAAGCTCAAAGCAGTACAGTTATGCTGCATTAAAAAACAACTAAGGGCATTTCACTGACCTTCTCAGACCAAAAAGCTACAACTCTTGTTGCACAGGTCCTGCTTTACCTTGGTCTTAACCATCCAGTAGAAAAGTATGAAGACGAAATATAGGAACTAAAGCCATGCTGTTAAGTTGAGCTGTGGGGGACTCAGGTCAATAATTTCTGCCATTGCCAGTTAAACAGAAGACCCAATGTTATTATGGGCTACTGGACTCTTTTAGAATATTTTGCTGAGTTTACACACCTATAATATTCAACAATGGAACTTAGAAAAAATGGGGTATAACTATGAATGTCCATTTTGTATCTGTGTATTCAAAGTGGTTGGGATAGATATATAGTTGCATTCTCTTAATGAATAGAATGATTTGTTCTAATGGTGTTTGTAAATAGGATCACAAGTCCGCATCTTGTACAGCAATTAACACGAAGAAGAATATATGCAGTGTATTATTTGTTGAAACTGTACTTCTGATTTGATTTGAAACTGTCTCATTGCTATCTGTTTATCAATAAAACTTTGAAAAAAAAAAAAAAACCAACTAAGGGGCTGTAGGTGGTGATGCATGCCTAGAATCCCAGCTGTAGGGAGGTGGAGGCAGCATGATCACAAGTTTGAGGACAGGCGAACTCAATGAGACCCATCTCATTACAAATTTTTTAAGAAAGGGTTGGGGTCATAGCTCAGTGGTAAGGCCTACCTGCACTCAACTGCCAGTAGCAGGAAAAAAAACCCAACTAAACAAAATTTTATAACCTTTGCAACTATACAGTGGTCCCTCACTTATCGCGGAGGCTGCGTTCCAGGCAGTAAGTGAAAATCAGCGAAGTAGCAACATTACATTTTAGTACTTACATATATTTTAAGGTTTTATAAACCTTTCCCACATTTTTAAAAACACTTCTAATGTTCTTAACCATTTTCTAAACTCGTAAACGTACTTAATTTTAACAACATATGTATACTGTATGGTACTGCAAAATCCTGCAATGATTTAGATTAACTTTTTTTTTTTTTTTTTGAGGAACCAGGGATTGAACTCAGGCCCTTGCGCTTGCCAGGGAAGCGCTTATTCAATTGAGCCATCTCCCCGGCCCTAGATTAACATTTTTTGAAAATTTTGGAAACAGTGAGTCCATGAAAGTCAAACGGCCAAATAGCAAAGGACTATTGTACATTAAACATGATTTATTTCCCCTTTGATGTTAGGGATTGAATCAAGTACCTCACATGTGCTAAGCAGGTATCTGTTGCTGAGATATACACCCAGCAAAAACAGGAATTCATTTTTATTTTGGTCTGTTAAGACAGGGTCTTGCTATGTGTTCAGGCTGGCTTCAAACCTGCGACAATTCTGCCTCAGCCTTCCAAGTGATGGTATTACAGATGTGTTCCACCTTCCTGGCAAGGTTTTTCTTAACACAGTAAACTTTATAGTTTTGAAATCAAATTCTGAAGCTATTACACAAACTCCTGAACTGCGGGGTGGGGGTGGCGATGGCCCAGGCCTTAGCTCCACCCCAGCCCCTTTCTATTTTGAGGGAATATCAGTAGCCCACTGAATTGCCCCAACTGTGCTGGAACTTGTGCTCCTCCTGCCTCTGCTTCTCAAGAGCAGCAATTCTAGGTGTGCACCACCACACACGCCATTACACACATTTTTTAATTAAAACCATAACGCTGAATAAAAATTAAGCAAAGAAGCAGGCTTGAGGGTGTACGTCTGTAATCCAAGATCAGAAGCTGAACCCAGAAGATTGAAGCTTGAACAGAGTAGGGACAAAAAACCCTGTCTCAAAAAATAACTCAGTAAAAAAATAGGACTCCAGCTCAGCGCAGAGGCCCTGATTTCAATCCCCAGCACCACCACAAAACAAAAACAAATAAAATCCTATTTTCACAGAAAACAGTAATTTACACAAAACATTATTTTGCTTCATTTTTGAGACAGGGTCTCACTATGATGGACAGGCTGGGGTCCCTCCCAAATCCTGGAATTACAGGCCTACACCACCACGCCAGTCGTGACCAATTATAATTTTCCTTTTCTTAAACACTTCTTTGCAATGCATTATTTATAATGTAAGTGAATTTAAAAATTGTCTAAACAAATACTAGTCTTAGTTTAGTCAAGCAAGCATTTGTTAATCGAATTTTACGAAACAGTAAATTATTCCTGCGGAGGGACACAATTATCAATTGTTAGTTTATTTTGCCTTTAAAAGTCAGGAACTTACTTCTCCAACGTCCAGTGGCTGGTTGCAAACAATGAATGTATTCAGTAAGCCTCCTCTCGAAAGCCTTTAGATCTAGGTAAACAGATTTCAGTTCTCTAATTAGGCATTTCTACTGGTTTGAATCATCGAGACAAAAAAAAAAAAAAAAAGGGGGGGGGATTTGAGACAGGATCTCACTATGTGGTTCATTATGGCCTTGAACTCACTATGTAGCCCAGGCTGGCCTTGAACACATGGTGATCCTCCTGCCTCAGCTTCCCAAGGGCCGGGAACACAGGCGTGTGGCACCATGCCCAGCAAGACAAAACTTTAGGTACACACTATTTCAGATTTTCTATGTTAACTGACATATAGCACTTCACTGATTACTACGGCCGTTTTAAGCACAAACAAAAACATCAGATTTCTTACAGTATTTCTGATCTCATACATAAGGAAACCGGTTCTCTTTTTTTTTCGAAGCTTTGAAAATTGGCACGTGGAAAATTATCAGCAATGTCAAGCTAAGCAATGTCTAAGAATTGAGGAGGTTACAAATGAAAACATAAAAATCAAGGAGAGCTCTAGTTATGTTGGAACCAGGAAATTGTTACTGGAGTATCAAAATCTTGGAGGCTCCTTTGACAGCAGTTCTCGGATTCTGCCTTCCGGCCCTCCTAACTCGGCAAGGCGGTCTCATCTCGCCCGACTCCCCGACACTGATAACGGGCGCGCGTGGGAAAGCGCCCGCGCCCGGGGGCTGCAGGCTCTCGCCGCTCCGCCGAGCCCCGACGCGCTTCCCGGGGACGGGCGCCCGCGGCGTCTCCTTCCACGAGGGGCGGGCGACGTTTCCGCGGCGGCGATCCTAAACTTTAGCGGGAGCAGGGAGCATCTCCCAGCCTCGGCCGTCACCGGAAGCCGCGGAAAGCACTGGGAGCACAGCTCGTGCGGCCACCGGCTTAGAATGAAAATGACTTGGGACACCCCACCGGCAAGGCCCGGGCGTTCGCTAAAGAGCGGAGAACACAGGCGGCGCCGGACGAGCAGCTCCGTCCGCGGCCGACGCGCGGCCCCGCTGCCGCGAGCCACCGCACCCTCCAGAGCTCCTCCGGAAGGCGCCCGCCCTGCGGCGGCGGGCCCGGGCCCTCCACCTCACCTTCCGCCTGCTCCAGCGAGTTCATGTCGGGCGGCAGCGACGGTCACCGCCGCGGCCCCGTCCGCATCGCAGCCTGGCGGTCCCAGCCCCGTCGGTAGCGCCAGCTCCCACCCCCAACCGCTCCCCTCCGCACCTCCTTGGCGCTCCGCCCTTTGCCTAGACGCGCTACCCTCATTGGACACTTCTGTCCTACCTTCTGACAAAGGCGGTTCCTTATTGGCTAATTTCCACTCTGGCCTCGGGGCCCAGAGTCGGACGGTCAGCCGGAGGGGCCAAGAACTGCCGGCGGCCAGGTTGACAGAACACTGGCGCCGCCTCCTGTCCTGGAGAGGAACTGCAACCCACCCGAGCCAGTTTGTTCTTTCGTCATTCGTATATACATCTTTCTAGTTCCCTGCTTCGCTCTTTCGTTCCTCGGATACTGATGATTTACTGTCGGGAAGTACTCTGGTCGCCAACGCTAACGAGGGATTTAAAAATCAAGAAACTCAGGGAGAAATAAAATATGTAAAAACTAAGCAGAATTCCAAATAATAGATTCCCTTAATTATAGTATTGCTCTCCTAGACAACCAACACCTTAAACAACCATTTCTATCATGGTTAATTTCTTCTCACATCATTCAGCTTTCATAAACCACAATGAGAACAAAATATGAGCCCTATTGCCTATTCCCTTTTAATAATCTTTAGGGTATTGACTACATTTATATCTGATTACAAAATCTTCCTTCTTGCAGTTATTCATACCTTCAATAACTATTGCATTAAACTAGGCACTGCATATGTCTGCCAGAGATACAGGTTATGAGCAAGATCGACAAGATTCTTGCCCTCAAAGTTGAAGGGTTACAGCAAACAACACACATGCAAGTAAATAACTGACCTCATGGGGTTTTTTTTTGGGGGGGGTACCAGGAATGGAACTCAAAACCTTGCACTTGCCAGGCAGGCACTTGTGGCACTGAGCTATCTCCTGGTCTGTAATTGACTTCAGATAAGGGTATTTCTATATGGGAAGTAACATGATAAGGATACAGCCAAAGAAAGGCTATCAGGAGCTAGCTAGCATATGGAAGGGCTTCCTGGGGCATGTGCACTGGAGCTGAGGACATGGAGGTGGCAGAGAGGAAACCAGCGGGGCAAGGAGGTGGGCTATGTAGGTTCCAAACAGCACTGGAATTTAAGGGCTGGCAAGATAGTTCCGTGGGTAAAGCACCTTCTTTGACAAGCGCAGGGACCAGAGTTCGATCCCCAGTCCCCAGAGTTGCCACGCAGGTCCTGCCCCAGGGGCACGCTGGGCCAACCACCAAATCTGGGCATGGTGGCACATGCCTGTAATCCCAGTGTTGGAGAGACTGAAAACAGGAGGATCACCATGAGTTGGATCTTCATAGTGAGATCCTTACCAAACACACACACACACACACACACACACCAATGATTATAATGAATATTGATTAGATCTATCTCATACAATGACATAGAGGATTAAACTGTTACATTTCTAAAGAATTTTTATCAGTGGTATTAAGAAGCCATAAATATATGAACAGTTTTGCCTAAGCGCTTAGGCTAAGGAAATAATCAAAGATATGCACAAAATTTATGTGTCAGGATATTGTTGCATGATTCACTCCCAGTAACTGAAGAGAGATTTTAAAACAGAGTGGTTAGAATTTGACATTATTGCTACAGAAGTCATGCTGGAAAAGGACATATTTAAGAATTAAGACGCATTCATGTTGAAAGAACCAATAGTATAACCTCAATTTATTATTAAAAATATATTTGTAACAATATTGTGATGGTTTGTGTCTAGTTGTCACCCTAAAGCCTCATGCAGTCCATGGGGCGGACTTCTAGAGTTTGTGATTAATTCATGATCCAGTGCTGGGTTTGTGGGTGTGAATGATACACCTAGGGATAGACGAATGCGATATGAGGAAGGGAGAGGGGCTGGTTTGCTGCTGCTGCTGCTCCTGCCTTTTTGCTCTTGCCCTTTTGCTGTTTTCTGCCTTGATGAACGGCTGTCTTCTGCCATGTGCCGCTCTGCCTTGGAGCCTGCAGAGTCTGGACTGAAACCTCCACAAACTGTGAGCTAAATAAACCTTTCCCTCCTTCCTTCGGGGTGTTAGGTGTGTTGTCCCAGCAGTGAGAGAAAAGTAACTGAGACAAATAGAGTTAGTGGTAAGGCTTATCTCTGGATCATAAAGGTATTGGCTTTTTGTATTATTTTTCGTGCTTTCATGTTGTTTTCAAATTTTTATTTTTATTAGTCCATGATGACTATATTCACTGTGGCCAGTTGGTACATGTACTTAACACATCTTAATTATTCTTACCTCCCGCTCCAAGGTGTTTTTTTAAAATTGTGGGTCAAAACCCAATAGAGGGTCCTAAAATCCAGTGAGTGAATTATAACCCTTATTTCTTTAAACAATCCAAACTAAAGCTCACAAATAGCATCTTTCGATTTGGGTTCATTGCCCTGTGCTTCAGGCTGTGAGGAGGAGTAGGCACCCCCACCACTACCACCACCTCCACAACGTAAAGCGCAACTATCCCTAACTGAGGCTTCCTGCCAAAAAAAAGTTTGAAAGTTAAAAAGTCATCATCAAGCTGGTGTTCATAGACCAATTTCACCACTGAGAGAAGTTAAAATGCATTTGTGCAGATTGTGCGGTTACTGTCATTGCCTGGCTGTCAGCCCCGCGTTCAAACTGCCCCCTTTGAATTCTGGCACCGCGTCCCCAGTTCTCCACCTCCTTCCTCCGAGCGCAGCGCAACGCTTTCCTCTTTGGCCTCCAGCCGGGCTTGGAGAATGGCTGTTGAACCTCCATCCTAGGCTAGATGCCGGGGAGGCGAGGCGTGCGGAAGGCCGCGGATGAGTGCGGCGGGCGGCGCTGCGAGCGCTGGGCTAAGCGGGAGGTCCGCTAACTCGCCCTCGCCGCCGGAGACGGCGCGGTCCGCTGCGGGGCATCGCTTGGCCTGAGAGCGGGGTGCAGCCTCCAGCCGGAGCGTGGGACGGCAGAGGGAAGGGGAAAGGCTGCCTCCTGGCGTCTTTCCTCGCAGTTCTTCATCTTTCAGCTGTGCTCCACTAAATGTCAAACATGCCTTTGAAAAGGTGCACTTTATTAGCCTGTCGTTGGCATCTATATATGTGAATCTTGAGGTCTGAGAGGCAAGACGGGAGAAGGGGAGGGACATAGAGCTTCAGAGGCAGAATGAGGAATTAGGAATTCGCTAATGGGGGGCTACAGGGGGCAGGTTTTCAGAAACATCGTGTTGATGGGAGGTCTCGAGGAGAAGGTACTAACAAGTGCTTAAGAATCGCAGGCTTTAAGACTGGGAAGGCACTGAGGGGCGCGGATCTGTGGCAGCCACTCCTGTCCTTCTGCCTCTAAGGACAGGGTTCAGCGTAAAAATAGAAGGCAATTGAACTCCAATGACCTTAAACATCTGTGATAAAGTGACAATGAGGTTCTAGGAGAGATAGCTAAATAACCAAGGCTTGTTATCTTTTGCTAGGGGCCTGGCGTCCTGAGTCTCAGGAAGAGTGTCCTCCCCCAGGGTACTGGGATTGAACTCAGGACTTTCACACTGAGCTACGTTCCCAACCTCCCTCCCCCTTTTTTTTTTAATGTTTTTATTTTGAGATAGGGTCTTGCTAAGTTTTCCAGGCCAGGCTTGAACTTGCCGTCCTCCTGCTTCACTTCCCAGAGCCCTAGGAGTGCTGACCGAAGCACCAAATGGTGTTATCATTCCTTTAAAACGGACAACGGAAGCTCTGTAAACCAAGGGTGTTATTCAACCCATTTCATGAATTTGATTCCCAGTACCAAAAATAAAATAAAATAGAATAAATAAACCCGTTTCAGAGAAGAGTGAGTTGATTGATCCCAAACACCCGCAGCTGAGCCTTCTCTCTCCCTCCCCTTCTTCCTCTCCCCTCGTCTCTCTTTCCCCATGAAGCATCAGGGCTGTGCTCTCAGCGTGTATTAAAAAGCCTGTCAAGAATGTATAGAAGCAGAAGATTAAACCCCAGTGACTTTAAACCTCTGTGATAAAGTGAAAATCAGCTTCTAAGGGTGTTACCCAAATAACCAAGGCCTGGTATCTTTTACTGGGGGCGTGGCACAATGTCTCTTCCAAGGATTATCCTGCCCCATGTACTGGGGATTGAACTCAGGACCTTCACACTGAGCTACACCCTTAGCCCTAACAATGAATGCTTCAAAAATGAAACTAGGGGTCTCTTGCTGCAGCAACGCGAGTGGGAGCACAGGAGCTCGGGCTCGGAGCGAAACACTTCGGATTGTTTTAGGAAAATGGCAGACAAACCAGACATGGGGGAAATCGCCAGCTTCGATAAGGCCAAGCTGAAGAAGACGGAGACGCAGGAGAAGAGCACCCTGCCGACCAAAGAGACCA